GGGTAGCTGTATAGGCTGCTTCAAGGTGAACAAGAAAGTTGAAATACCTATACCTATACTACTCAACTATAAATTATATTATGGTACTTTAATTTATACATTTTTTTGTAGAAATTATTACTCGATATAATTTTGCATTGCTTGATCAAGTTTTTTAGGTAACCGCTAGTTAATTTCAACGAATTATCGATAAATTTGTTATAGAGAAGGAAAAAATGTCCACCAACAAAAACGATAAACGGAATTGATATTCCAACAGTGTTTGCTTGCTAAGAAGGAAATCGTGGGTTACAACATAATAGAATGCCATTTAAATGTAAAATAATTAAAACGCACACTTTGCAATTAGATCTTCGACATTCCCATTAACGAATTTGTTTATCCTGGTCTAAGGCGGATTGTTACTCATTACAAAACACTTTTTAAAGGTAATTGAAGTGACATTTGCAACAAAATGCGTGATCTAGATAGTGAATAATACCGTGTTGTGAAAACGCTATGCAATCTTCGACTTTACGAAGCTCCTTGTTCATCAATCGTTAATTGTTTTGTATTTTTGTTCTAATCGATAACAACTGCACTTTCTACCGATATTCGTCATTTCTGAAGCAACTCGATGACATTTATTTTACTGTAATAAGTTTTAGATTCTTCGTGTTAACCCACGTAACAAACAGTGGTTGCAAAATGCCTAAAATGCCATGTCTTGTCACGGACTGAATACGGCATATCCGACCAAACTAGCCGTAGCTTTTTACAAAAACGAACCCACCTTAAAAGTGAATTCGCTTGGAATCCGTCCGCATAAAGAGCAAACTAATCTCATAGTACGGTAAAGCACACGGCATATGAAAGTGAAAGGAGGTTGGATCGGTTTGTCTTGGTTTAGTTTTCGTATACGATTTTAGGTTTCGCGACCAATTTCTGTACAACACGTGGTAGATCCGATCAATTTATCGATCTGCGACGCCAAACATCAACTACAAAGTGGATTATTTTATTAGGGAATGGATACCCCACAATCTCGTTCAAATAAACTGGATACACATTTTTTTACTTATCAAACGCCTGTGTTTACCAGTTCCGGACTTGTGTTCTGTCTAAAAAAATTGCCACGCAGATGGCGCCCGTCTGATGATAATTACATAATTCTATCTGCTAGCTTTGAACATAACAACAGCGGTTAGGCATAATGCCCACGATGAAGGAGATATAAATTTGCCCAGTGAATGTACTGAAAATAGATAACTGATAGACATATTTATAGTTTAAACTGTCGCATACAACTATTGCTAAAGGTAATACACATTCAGTTCTATTTGCACATATACGCACACACATTTGAATAACTGATACAAACATTATCGGAGCGTTATACTTGATTAATTTCTAGTTAAAATTTTCCGTTTTCAAATATTTAATTCGACGAATCAAAACAATTATTAAACAACCGTACATAACGTTACACCAGCTGAGTTGATCCTGATTAATCATGTTGTATAAACTAACACCAGACTAACAATGAATTAAGATGAGTTGAGATCTTGTTTATACAATGCAAAATTTAAAACGTAGATAATAATCTATCTACAATGGCTTATTTCGGGTTTCTACGGCTGAATTTGTTTTTTCCAAACAACAATACTTATTATAAACAATTTGTTTACGTTTTGGAGAATATAATTTAAAAAACTCGTGAAAAATACTGCTCGGAAGACTTTACTATGCTTTGTGCTAATATGCTGATAATTATTTATAAGACATAAATTAATTATTTATTATTAAGAACAAACAACAAATTAATTTTTAATTAAATGATCTGTTTTTTACCTACACACTCAAATCCGAATGGATAAAAATTTAATGATCTGCTGAAATGTTTGAGATGATAATTTTCTTGTTCTTCGCATGATGATGTTATCTGTATAAAACGAATAGAATTTTTAGTTTAAAAAATTGAAATTAACTTTGTGATGTCTGAGTCAATTTTCTTCGACGAAGACATTCTAAATTCTCCCTCAATGTTGTGTAAGATGATGTAAATGATCGAAATTCCACACCCAAAGAACCAAGTGAACACTTGTAATTGTGCCTGGTCCATCTGTTGAAGAAAAACCGATATTGTTGTAAGTGATGTTACCTTAGTAATAAAGATCCAAATTTATGAAAACACTAATCACATTAAAAAGCTCAAAAAAAGTAATATACTTGGTTCAAAACTAAAAAATATTAATTGGACCTTCGTAAATGCAGACGTGAATTTAAATGTTCGAAATTTGGTTTACTTCACTTACTGTGAAACAAATACATGCTACACTCGATCATTTTTATCTTATTTATATATACACAGGATAATTCGTTCTCGACATTAATTACAGCAAAATGCCACTTTACGGAAATATGTACCGACTGATCGAAAATAAAATGAATTAGAGTTAACTGTGAGACAAATTGTAAAGGTGGTCCGATTACATCATTCAGTCAACTGACAGGTTGGTGTCAAAATTACACATCCAGCTGAACTGAGAAGACCAGGTTCTTTCGCCCCATTTTGTCGTCTAGCTGTACAATGTGAACCCAGGGTAACAAAAAGTGATCAGTGAAAAGTTATGTTGACAGTAATTTACGTCAAATTAAGGGCATTCAAAGTTTAACAAGCAACGACGTCAACTCTAACTCATTTTATTTTGATCGTATGGCATCATCTTATAGATTTTGTGAATTCAAATGGGCTATGACTTTTGTAACTGTATGTTACAATAAAAAAAATTGTAACCAAGTAAAACATGTCATGAATATTAGATATATTGTCGTTGCAACTGAAGGTCTTAGAATTTTTACACCTCTATTTAGATAAATCTTCAAGAATTAAAAATTTATTACCAAGCCATTTTTTGAAATTGTGATTTTGCATTTAATTTTTCTACAATCTTGCGGCAATTGATATGAATTTATAAATGTTTTTTTCTAATTCCATATAACATAATAATATATAGGCTGTAGAAATGCCAAAACTATCCTTTTTTAAAAATTTAGTAGAAGAAATAGAACTTTAAGTGTGTTTTTCCCGGAAATGACAAATAATAATAACACTGACCACGTATTTCTACTTCTGACACAAAACAAAAGAACTAGAGAAAATACTACTACTCGAAAGTAACGTTTGTCAGTTTTAATTAATATGTTACTGACAAAAATTGTCTATATAAAGGCTGCCGTATTTACATAGTGAACAAAAATTTTACCAGATAAATGGACATTAATTTAAGCCAATCCAATCGGTACAAATGCGTCCCCGATTTTCCTTTAAAAAGATCTTAAAAATCTTTATCGTTGTTAAGGTGTTAAAAGCATAAAAAAAAAATATAACAAATGCTACTATACTAATCTACCATCGTGTTAAGTTTAAACAAACTGTTTCTGATAATAATTTTGTTTATTATTATAAAAAAACAAAGAATAATCTGTAGCTTATAACATGTGTGACGTGACTGAAAAAAGTATAAAACATTGTTGTTATCATTACCACTTGTGAAAAAAGTGACTCAATAGGTTATACCTTAATTTTATTATGTTGGAAAATAGTAAACAAACATCAGAAAATAGTTTTAACTTTAGTTAGTTAGATAGTCCGGTAGAGGCGGTGTATTATCATCAGAAAACCTTCATTACCTATCGCAAATACTACCAGATTTGTTGTAGTCAAGTTATGGTAGGGGTCGCCAAATTAGGTATGATACACAGACAACTGGATAGAAGGTCAGGTATACACAAAAAGTGATATAATGAGGGTTGTATAGTGAATATAACTATCTTGAAGATACGTGTTTTGTGAGCTTCGTGAACAAAACCTTATATCGGTACATTACACATCAAAAAACATCCACACGGTGGCAGAAAATAAAAATTAAGTAATTAACAACACATCTGAATTTAAAACATACTAAATAATTAAACTTTGGTACACAGTACCTCGATCAGATAGATGATTTCATTTAGTCGATGAAGGTACTGTGTACCAAAACACGTACGTGTATCAATTAATTAAAAGATTTTAGATTCAACCGTGTAATGGATTACATACTTATTTGTTGATATTGACGTCCGTCAACATCGCTTTTCATTTCCAAAAACTAAACGCACATTATTTAACGAATACTGTCCAGATTAATACTTTTTTAGTATTAAAATGAGTATAAGTGCACTTACATCGAACACAATTCTCGAAGTAAAAGCTGAATGTTAAGTGGTTAAGATAGTTTGATCATTGCATGACGTATATGAGCTTCTTGCTCAACATCGATTGAACACAGTTCGCTTTACAATTAATTATAAGTGATAGGTTTGTTGAAATAATAGATGTGGTATTTTGTGTCGTGCTTTTGTAGTTTGTGGTTAAATAGTAGAAAATAATGACATTTATGTATTTACAATGAAAAAATATAAAGCTGGAACATCGCTGAACAAACAAGCGTCAGCTTTATTGACGATTGATTATAATAATTCTTCTTAAAAGTTTGTGAATTAATTCGGTGCATGCATTAGATTTTAGGGTAACGCTTAAGTGCATTAAGTATACGCAGTGTATTGAGGTCAGATGTATTTTTCGTTGTAGAAGATGTGGAACGGTCGCGAATTTGTGGGCATGCATTCATCGCAGTGTAAATAGGTTAATGTTTATTGTGTTATGACACTAGAGTGAATTTGAACGATGTTTGTTTATTGTAATAATTTTGTGCAGTAAAAGAGTATCTGTGTCGTAGTTAATCGCGAGTTTACAATAATAGCTGAAATGTAAACGGCATGTACCAATCCGCGCACTTACAACAGCATTGAGCAATTTAGAAACCGACTTTATAAATCGTGTTTCATGTTTAATGGTACAAGTAGCCCACCGAAATGAGAATACCTCGATGATTGCGCTCTCTGGTATTGCGTAATAAGTGCGTATTGTGTTCGCACATGTTCGGCACGTGTTCGCTCATTAAACTGGGACTTACCTTCGAGTTTCATGCCGACTTCCAAGCACTTTTGAAACCGACAGAATGGACACCTTTTCCGTTGCGTTTTGTCTATGTGACAACTTCTTTCCGCCACGCACGTGTAAACTTTCTTGTTTTGAACGGTTCTTTTGAAAAATCCCTTACAGGATTCGCACGTGAGGAGGCCGTAGTGGTAGCCGGAGACCTTGTCGCCGCAAACTGGGCAGAGCTCCTCGATGCCGTCCTTCGTGTCCGGCAGGTCTCCGGCGGTCAGAGACGTCGCCGGTCCGGAAATCTGGTAGCTGGCGCCCATGTCGACCCCGGAGATCGCGTTGGCTCCTGGGGAAAATATATAAGACGCGTCTAAGTTATTCATGTTCTGCGACATCATCATGGACTGCTGGTGATGCTGCATGCCCATCGACTGTTGGCAGCTGCTGTAATGGCTTATAGGGGGCGAGCCGTATTGGGGCGGCATGGGGCTGGACGCCGGGGCGCCCGCGGGCGAATCCCCCGAGTTGGCGTTAAACGGGGACATGTTCAGAGATAACAACGTCGAATGGTTCTCCATGTCCAGTAACATCTCACTAAACAGTCACACGGGAGAACGCTAATGCGGCAACTAGTCAAAAATTGGAAAAGAGCGGCCGTTCGGTCACGTCACGAGGGATTCGTCCGGCGTCATCGCCATCGAGGAAGCGCACAGACACAACACAATATTCCAACAGGGCTAAGTGCATGAGTAATCCGATGGCGGGGCTATCCAGGCACACATAACACACACGCAGCGAGGGAACGGAAGCACCTCCGTCGTCGCGGAGTTCAGTGGGCAAACTGACCAGCGCGGACCGTCCAAGAACGTTCAGCACCGAACCCCCTTCCGAGAGACGTGTTGTCAGCACCGGGCTACAATGGAAAATGATTAGGAGCCCATGTAATAAGTGAAAGTGACTCGGGACCGGTGACCCACTTTCCCATGAACCAGGTCTATGTTAGTGCTGTTGTGAAGTCATACATACACACACATACACACTTACAACATCGCACACTATCTGGGAGAGCGGGTGGGGGAACGGCCGTGGGGGACTGGTGGGGATGTCCCACTGACCCAGTTAAGACCCGACGCATCATGTGCTCTTCGCGCGGGATGTAGGGAGTTTTCCCGGATCGACGCGGCGCGTCGCGGCGGCGGCGGCGTCACCACTCACCGGCATCCCTCTACCTGCCACACGCCGCTCCACATTCGCCAACGACGCCCACCGGACCTGCCGCACGCGACCCGACACGTTTCAGGGTTAATTTATTCCAGGGGAAGTGTTTCAATCAATGAATCGCTTATTGCTCGAGATCTTAAATAAACATGGACGTTTTGCCTGTGCTTTACTAATTAATGACTTAATGACAGAGACCTAAAAACGGATCTTGCCAGGATTGATTTCGTTCGGTTTCTTTTTAGACGAACCACGCGATGGAAAAAAAAGTAATTACGAATGACACATGCATTGCACAACGAGATCAATTCTGTAAATGTACAATGGCAATGATAATGTGATGATAACCAACCTCGATATCCCGACAAATGTAGGTGTGGAGCTAAAGTTCGCGTAAAACATAATAGTTTTTTTCACTTCGTCTAAAAAATTTGGGGCAAATTCAACGGAAATTTGGTGGCCACAATAATGAAACTAATTTGACAAAAATGCACAGAGATATAAAATAGATGAGGCCAATAGAGTTCTTTTTGCCCGAGATATACCCAACGTTTTTTAGGCGACCATACAGAAAAGTAATTGGTTATGTAAGTGGTTTTGACGTTAGAAAATCTTTTCGTTGAAGGAGGAAAAGCTCTGGAGATTTGATAAAAAACCAAAACGCTACTTTGCTGCTCTACTAAGAAAAAATTGGTACAGTCAGATTTCATGCCGATATTCAGTAAAAATGAAGTTCAAATAACCACCGTTTTTGGCTTTATTTATAAAAAAAAAAAATGGTCAAAACATAAGGCCAAGGACGCAAAAAAGTTTTCGCTATCTGAGTACAAAAAAGTGAAAAGTGAGTCCAAAAATGTAATTTTGACATTTCAGTACGAAAAAGTTCATGGATATGAAGGGCGTAAAACGAATAGATTAATTCTAAAAACAAATTTAAGGTTTGATAATAATCTGATAAATCGACGTTCCTTAATGGTAACTTATTTCTTTTATGAAAACTTCAAGTGTAAAAAAATCACTTCGGTGTATATAAAAAGTCAAATAAGAAAATCGTAAAAATAAAAATTTTAAAAATTGTGTAGTTATTCAGACAGAACTTTCCTCGTCTCGAAAGTATAAACAAAGCCATTTCTTAGATATAAAATCTGATTTTACGAATTTTTTTGACAAAAACACTTCAATTTCAATAGGAAGTGTTAATACTAATAACGATACTATATTCTCAAAATTTTGGGAAAATTGGGTCAGCCGATTTTCATTGAATAAGCTTGTATAAAAAATTCTAAAAAATATTAATGCAGTGATAAACCACATAATATTTTGCATTTGGAGTTAAACGTAAAACGTTATACAATTTTGATGTCTAATGTTTAAAAATGAAGGCAATAAAAAACCAGTATAAAACCGTGCTATTCTATAAAATTTGTATACATATATGTAATTTATTTTGCAAAATTTTGATATGACGTTATCAAATTGTTTGTGGAGATATCAGATAAATTTTGGTTAGCGTTTTACCAACTATGCGATATTCCTAAAATGCACCTAAAATTTCACAACGATCAGGTCTACAATTTCGGAGATTATCTACTTTTTCATACTCTAGGGGTCTAGAGATTATGAAACGTCGAGCAAACACGAATTAGCCGTTCGCCGGAGGGTTTACGCTGGGGAAGTGAAAAAAGTGAACATATATTACCTCTGTATATATATGTACAATATAAACAGGGTTTTACATCAAGTGTCGACATAAAAAGCAAATTTCTTGATATAAAAACGGCAACATTTTATCGGATATTTTTTTTAACGAAACTCTTTTTTGATCAATTTTTTGAAAATATTTTCTAAAAACAGTAACACGAAATTTGTATTAGGTTATACATCAAAACAACATTTTTGAACTTGAAAATCTCTTTTTAATTTAAATATGTTCGTTCGAGTCTATTGTCATATAATTTAAGAATTGTTAATTGAAAAAAAATTGGTTGAAAGTTATTTCGACAGAACTTCCCTCGCCCTTGAAGTACAGTCCAACAAATCCCGCATTTATGAAAAAATATATTTGATTTTGAGATTTTTGTTTTATGATAATCTCCATAAAGTAATACCAGTCGCGTAAATAACACCTCAGCAGCCTGTGTGCGCGGGTGCGCACATTCCATTAAGGCCAAGAAATATTTAAAGCAGATATTCAACGAGAAAAAAATGTATTCCCAGCACATGCTTAACTTCGACTGTTTATGTTTACACTTCGAAAAAATTCAACTATTAGCATGTTCCATATAACAAGCATCCGCGGTGGATCAAAATATGCATTTTAGTATTGATCATCGGGATTGTGGACAAAAAAAAACTCATCAGTGTCGACTAGTTTCGTTTACTCGCATTGTAAACATCTTCAGGACCTATTTACACAAACACGTACACATTGTGACGTAATTGCACTTACGTTAATTATTGTAAATATAGTTGTTATTAATTGTATTTCTCATTCAATTGTGCTTTTGTGTTAAAAGAAGATGAAATTCGATCCATTTTGTCTCGCCAAAATAAACGAGATGAATAATTTTAGCAAAAAAAAGCGCGACATTACTGTTTCCTTACATTTTTGAGAACCGTTCGTGACTTGATCAATAAAAAAATTGGAAATGCTCCGGAATCAAGCTCGGACCCGGGCTTTCATTTGCAAATTTGGCGCTCGAATCTGTTTAATAAAAATCCGGAAAGACAACAGACAGGCAGATAGACGGAAACGGGTGACCTATTTTTCATATTATAAGGGTCATGAAACGTCGAGAAAACATAAAAGCAGCGATTCGTTGGATGGATCCTATTTACAATACTTCTTTAGTTTGCGCTCGGGAAGTATATAAAAATGATCATTCCAATCAGGTTTCTATAGTTATAATTGCTTCAAATTATAAACTCCGAATGGAAACCCGTCCGAAATATCTTTTTTTTTTATTTACTTTGAATTTGTTCCATAATATTACGCGCAATGATTAAAACGGAATCCCATCAAGTACGAAATATTTCCTAATTTCTTATTAGTTGTACATCGTAAAAATACAATCAACTTGTCTGAGAATTCTGAGATACGCTGATACAGCGAGCATGAGGTAATTTGTTTTTGTATTTTAGTACATAAAGAGGTAAGTTTGAACTGAAAAAGTTATTTGCACCCCTTGACAAAATCTTAAATAGAAAAATTATTAGATGGACAACTTCCGTTGTCACATATTACTAAAATTTTATATAACCTCATGACATTTAAAATAGATACGAAGATAAATATAACGACATTTGCGTTCCTCATATTAATTATATTAACTAGCTGCAGAAGAGTTTAAGAACCATTATGTTAATTGTTACGAAACAAATGAAAGATAAAATAATAAGAAAGGAAATAGGATGACTAAAATCTAGATCCTAAAATGTTAATGACGACATTTCCACCTTAAAAGTAAACATCTCTTTGACATTTTAATCTATAAAAAATAACCTGTAATTTTTATCCCAAAATCTACTTACATCACTTTTCAAAAAATAAATGTTTTGAAGACTAAAGTCGAAGAAAAATTACCACCTTGACTGTCATTCTGCGTTTAATCGGGATCTGGTATATGGAATCTATAGTTGAGATTCGCCATTCGTACTTTCATTTGTAAGTTCAAAAATAATTTTGTGTCCATTATTAAGATCGAAAGTACAGACGTGTTATTTAGATACTACATAATTAATGTCTACACGATAAACATTACGCAAATTTTTTAATTATTATACAAGAATAGAATAAATTCAGTCTAAGCACGTATTGGACATTGTTACTGCTTTAAAGCGTCACTTATAATTCATATAAAGTTATTTTAAAGTAAGAGTTAGACACAATCTCTTAAGACGTCTTGTTTATCTCTACTACATTTTTAATTGAAAATATTAAGACGCCGATAATATGTGTACAAAATACACTTCAAAAAAGGAGCACGTTACATTTTCATATTCCAATAAGATGTACTTCATGAAATTTTGAGATGAGGTCAGCAATCTTTTGAATCGAACAGTTTTACAAATTTTGGTTAGCGTTTTACCGTTTTGATTACGATATCAATGCAGATGGTTAAATAATATCAAATACCGTCTAATAAACTATGAATTATGCTATCGGATAGACGACAGACAGGTAGACGACATACACATGGAAACGAAAAACTTACCCTTTCGTATCCTACGCACTGTGAAATATCGAGTAAACATGAAATCAGACGTTCGTCAAATTGATCCTTTCACGATTCTGGCCTTAGCCTCCACTCGAGAAATATTATTATTATTAATGTTAACTTCTAATCGGATTTTTACCCTTTTACGTAGATAAATTGTTTACATATTTCGGAACACACGGAATCAATGAATAAATAAATACCCTAATAAGTTTATTTTAGTTGTTTTGTTCACTACCGTTTGTAATAACCCGAACTGAGAGGCTATCATAAATCGCTCGTCGGTGTATCTTGAGAGAGAACTTCTGCTTATTTGTTCACGTACTTCTTCGACAAGTAGGAAGTAACCCCCTGGAAATAAATCGCCAATCGGAAGCGTTCCCGTAAAATTTTTCAGAAATTTTTTCTAGAACAAATATTTTAGATCGATAATTCATCTGCTTTCAACAAATTTAGGTTGGAAATAAAACAAGTCCAGTTTAATAGATTAACGCTACAAATGGTACTACACGTATAAATTTACCTTATCACATGATACAAGTAGAAAATGTGAACCGAGTAATTCGTACGGTGGTTTTTTTTCCCGATAGGTCACTTACCATTGTTTAATATCAACTTTTGCTCATTTAATTTCAATTACAAAGAAAATTCAATACGCACGTGGGTCGGCCATGATGCGGAAATTATTCTTCGCACGAAGTAACTGTGATAGATGTATTTGTAATAAAATCGCTATTTCAAGGACCAGACTTTAATCCACACAGACTTTTAAATCATACTAGACTTTTTGTGTTGTTTTGCAATTGAAACAAAACATTGTTACAGGAACAAGAATATAAAAAACTTCAACAAGTAAACGGAGTAAGAAACAAATGTTACAATCACAAAATAAATAATTTTAATTTTTACAATATTCACATTAATTTTGCGTATATTTTTAATCCAGCCGCTTTGGAAGAGATCTACCTGGTGGCAAAAGGTGTCGGAAGAAATTTTATTAGGATTATAAATAACGGTTCC